TAGATCAATTAGTATAATGACTTGGAATCACTGATAAATCTTATTTATAAGTTTATAATAACCATAATGAACTTAAACATAAGTTATACCTAAAGTACGGTAAGCATAACTCAACTTACAAGTGGTTTAGCGAGAAACCGGACTTTGCGCGGGCGGAGCTTCTAAGCCAAAATCTCTACTTCTCGGGGCTTTCTAATGCTCCGGAGCGTCGCTACTAACACCTAGGAAGTGCTAGAGAAAGGCATTGAGGCCTTGGGGGGTTTTGGAGAGAGTATGATGGAATGGTGTGAAGAATGAAGTGATTTTCGACTTCTATTTATAGGCTGGAATAAGTCAGTATGTGGGGCGTACCTAAGCATTATGTTGGGCATAATATGCCACGTATCAAAATCTATTTATAGGCTGGAATAAGTCAATAGGACACGTTTCGCCCTCTAGTTAATCCGAAAATTAATTATATTGTAAAATTCATAACTTTCTTATATGAACTCCGTTTTTTACGTTCTTAATATCCACGCGTAGCTATCGACGTGATCTACAACTTTCGTTTAGACTTTGTAGGCTAATTTTGACTTTATTTTTAAAGTTATATTTGAACAATCTTAAACAGTTAAATTCCGTTAAAAATTCATAACTTTGTTATAAGTCGGATTTCAGCGTTCCTTATATCTCAAGATTCATTGTTACGACTACTTCAACTTTCTTCAAAGATATTGGGTCTAGTTATTATTTTATTTTAGATGCGTATTTTATTCCTAGTTTATTATATCGTTATAAGCACATATATTGCACATAATTTACATGTAAATCACATAATACTCAAATAAATTCTTCTTCATTACGTCAAAATATGTTACAATTGTTGACCCTTAACTATTACATCATCATAATAATGCTTAGCCAGAAACACGGGCGTTACATAGCTTCCTTTTTATTTCAGTAAGGACGCCAATTTTAATCCAGGACAAATCTACACGGTTCCTTATACCCTCAAACGGAGAGACGGTCTTTCCAAATTTGCTAACAATCGCTTGGAAGTTCGACTTGCACCACAGTTTTAGTGGTAATCCGACTATTCGAGTCCATGTTGTACGATCAAAGCATTGGTTGACAGGTTCTCCCAATTGTATCCATTTGAACAAATCTCTCCAATTTTTCTTATTTTCAAGGAAGCTCCTTGCCTCCACTATGCTTTGGAAAATAAGTAGGACCTTCATACCACCTGCATATTTCACATCTTCAACTTTTTCGTTGTGGATTGATAGCCAAGTTGGGAGGTGACCTAGATGTTATAATGACAATGCTTCACAAATGAGAATGGCATTTTGAATCCACATTTCCATATCATTATCTGCTTGAAGGGGTATTACCGGAAACGGTGGGGATGATAGAGTAAGGAGATTGATTTGGCTTGAGATGGAAGCCCCAACGAGTTTAGCATACGTTATTTTGCCTATAAATCCTCCATCATGCTTGGCTAGGTTGACACTAGGGGGAGCATTACGCTTGTTTCGATGAATCCCCTATTTGGCCATCCCTTAGGTTCTTTTCTTTCAAATCTGGCGATGTTTACCTCTAATATATTGTTTCTACACTTTGCTCCATTGAGTTTGATTTCTAATTCCTTTGGATATGCAACTCCATCGAAACGAATGAATTCAAAGTATCTCCCGTTTTTTTCTTTTTCTGTCTCCAAAATATATGTCTGTGAGATTGCCAAGAGGAGAGAAGATCTTCATAAACTCCGATTTCGTTGCTCCTTCTGGAATATTGGTGACGAAAAAACTAGTTTCATTGTTGTTCGCTGACCTTGGCGGTGCTTTCCTCCGACGAACCTGCGTCCATCCGTCTTCCATGCCTGAAATTGATGTGTTTTTACAGATTTGGATATGATGAAGATGGGTAGAATAGAATGAAAATGATGGGAAGAAGTGATGGTTTTTGAATATGACTTTCATATCAATAATTATGTAATTATGTATAATCAGTATAATAATAATTCTTTAATTTGGCATTCAATTAAAATTAATACCATCATTTAACACCCTTCCATTCTTCTCTAAACGCTTGATAGTGATGGTTTTTGAGTATGACTTTTCTACAAATATCATCTTTTTTACGCATAATTCAATTTTTAATATGTATTTTAATATAAAATAGAATTTACATTTATTTTGTAAAGAATGATATATGAAATATACAAGATCTTCTAACAAAATGGGATGAAATGTGTGGACATGTTTTTACTATTTGAATAATCAAATAATAACTAATTTGTATATTTGGCAATTTCTGATTACTTACATAATTGATAGAAAACATTGACCAATAATAATAATATTCGCGTATATAAACAAATTAGTTAATCTGAAATTTAAAATTTTATTTCTTAGTAGTCATAATAATAGTTTTTACATATTATTTATCAATAAGTCTCCAATAAATAAATATTTTTGACAAGTATTTTTTTTCTTAATTGAAATTTTCATATATTAGGTTTTTAAAAAAGATTTAATTCCGAGCTAAGATAGCGGTGGCGTTAATAATCTTGATTTTTCTTGCAAAATTTGTTTTGTTGAATATAATTCTGAACTAATTATCTGATCCAAAAACAAACATGTTATTATAAATGTTGTATCCAAATGCAGAAAAACAAATTATTGCAGCTTCAAATCACAACAGTCAGATATAAATAGGTCACAACAAATGATTTTCCAGTGCGAGTGGATTTTTTTTGTCTACATTAAAACTTTTATACATAAACATTATGTTAAATAATTGCGCTATTCAACAATCAATTTATTTTTATTTTTTTTAACCGACAAATTTAATCTAATCTTAATCAATTTATTTTTATGATTTGCAAACACTAAAAGCAACTCTTAGGCTATGTTTATTAGTAGAGAAAAAGACGGCTATAGACATTTTTTGGAGGTGAATTTCAAAATTTAGTCATAAAAATCCAAAATTCCGGTTATAGCATGCATTCCGCGGAGGTGAGCTCCGAGGGCTCCGCGGAATCCATTGTAGCCTTTGCGGAATGGCAAAATCGGAGGATTATGATGAGATTATTCCCTCTTTTGGTCCCACTATGTAAACATATCTTTTTTTTTCTTTGTAATAATTATAAGACTGATTAATATAATAAGATTATTCCCTCTTTTGGTATAATGAGGAGGATTGTAATAATTATAACACATACGATTAATCAGGGGTATTTATGAAAAAAAAAAAAAAAAAACTCGATGAACAGTTCCGCGGAGCTACTAACGAGGTCCGCAGAGGCACCTCCGCAGAACAGTTCATCGAGTTTTTTTTTTTTTTTTTTTGTTTGTAAATCTCCATGATTTAATTATGATTTTGTCATTCAGTGGAGCCCTCGGAGCTCAACTCCGCGGAATGCATGTCTATAGCCGGAATTTTGAATTTTTGTGACTAAATTTTGAAATTTACCCCAAAAAAATGTCTATAGCCGTCTTTTTCCCTTATTAGGATTTAATTAGGGATTTAAATTACCCATTAAGCAATGTTTATACGACAAATCGGTGCTTCAAATATGAGATTAATAGATACATTTTTTATAAGATCCAAATTATATTTGAACAATATCAAAATCTAGACAAATTCAAGCCCTAATTTTTTCTTTGTTTTCATCAATCCCGAAATAAAACCAAACCCCGAATTTCATGGGGCTCAATTCATTCATCGCCCTATGATTTATGCTCATGATAGTTAGAGGACGCAATCTATTTCTTGCTTAATTTTATAGTCATAAGGGTGCAGTTGTTATTGTAGCATGCAAAAAGTTTTTAAAACGTGGTTAAGATTCTATTTTGATGCTTGTTTTCTTTGAGTTGTGGTTTGTAGGAAGAGAGCTGCTCATGATTTATAGGAGTCACGAGCAAAGATTCTTCTATGATTCTATCCATGATGAACTTATGAAAAATAAAGAGTGGAATGAAATTCCAAAAAGAGAAAGAGAAACAAATAAAGTTTTTATATAAAGGAATGTTATAAAGTACAATTCTATGTTCATGTCTTACAAGACTCTCCTTGAGGGTTGTTTTTTTAGTATGACTTCTCTGTGACATCCTTACTGTGGAATTCGAATCATTCGGTTATTACCTATTTTTTTGTTATTGACAATGTTATAGGATGCGTTGCAAATGATTCAGGCGTTATAAAATTCTCGTACTTGTGAATCTATTGCCATCACATATGAATCAGATGGTATCAATCTCCTAATCTTGGTGAATGGTGATACTATCAATCTCCTAATCGTGGTGATACCTTTTTATGATATGTATTCTCTAATGATGCAATCTTTGTCAACCCTTTTACTTACTTTAAATCTAAATTTTTTAGGAATACATAAGAAAATAATATGTTTTGTATACTATAATTAATGATTATACACACTTCAATAATTTTTTATATGTGTTAGCCCACTTTATCCTTTCAAATTTAACTTAATTTTTGTAATTTCATCTATTAAAATAATTAAAATAAAACAGAAATCAACATATTTATAAAATAAAATAATAAAAACTATCGTTTTTAATTATTATATTTCCTCGTGAATAGATGCACCAACAACTTTCCATAGCTGCCGGTGCACCGTCAAATTAGTAAACACCAACTTCTGCATTGCCTTGTATTATTTTCATAATAAGATTTTTTTTATCATATTAAACGCATAAATAATTTATTAAATATTAGAAACAAAATTGTTTTCATCAACCCAATTGATTCATTTTATCCATACACAATATTATTTTGACTAGAACCTACATGTAACCGATTAATCAATGCATTTGGACCGGTTTGATTAAAAATACCCGCTTCTAATAAAATATAGTACTATTCTTTTTCTTTTCTGAAATAACTTTTAGCGAAAGCCACCAAATACTTTACTTGTAGGACCCTACCCTTTCCATAAATAGAAACAGCCCGCTCACACTCATGCCCACAATCACCCCCTACCCCTCATCTCCTCAATCATGAATCACTCAACTTACCATAATCAGAAACCCAACCCAAATAAACCCAATAAGCACACTACCAAAAGACTCACCGAGGATCAAGTGAGATTACTTGAGTCATATTTCGACTCAAGCAAAAAGCTGGAGCCGGATCGAAAACATCAGCTTTCGCGCCAGCTTGGAATTCCTCCAAGACAAATAGCCATCTGGTACCAAAACAAACGGGCTCGTTGGAAGAACCAGAGTCTGGAGCATGACTACACCATGCTCCAGCTCCAATTGGAGGCCTCGTTACTTGAGACCAAACACCTCCAAAAAGAAGTCGAATATTTGCGAACAGAGCTCAACAAGGTACAATCAGAACAAGCACGACACAACAGATACTACAACAATGATTATCAACCTCTCATGGATTCTTCATTCTCTAGATGTGGTGATGATGTTGGAAGCTCATCGAAAAGCTTAGAAGATGATACGGAAACTTTCTGTGGTTTCGGGAAACAAGTTTTCGATGCTGCAGAGATGTACACTGCAGCACGTATGATGGGCATGGATATCTTACATTTTTCGGGTTGAAAAATAATGTATTTTAATAATATTTCATGGTTTACCAGGCAGGTTTTCGACTATAATCATCCTAATCTTGTGTGCAGATATTGTATTATATATATAAAAAAAAATCCTATAACATTCATGTATTTATTTTTTTTCCTGGCCAAATTTGTCAAATTTGATTCCAATCAATCGATTGTGTGTGTATATATATATATATATATATATATATATATATATATATATATATATATGTGTGTGTGTGTGAGATATTGAATTACAGTTTAATTTATAGTCTAATAAAGATAATCTACGTACATGAGGATCTTCAAAGGAACATAAAAATGGTCTTTTAGTGTTCGTTGACTTCGTTCTACTGTTTCATGGTCAAAAGCCATCCTGGATGGGACCAACACTATAATCAGTTTATGAATAATTTGGCTTGTTTTTATAGCTTTACTTTGTGTACATGAAGATATTATAAAGAAATGCTAATGACATGACACTTGATTGTTACCTAAAATCGCCAAGTACATAAAAGGCATTGTTCATGTTTCTCATTATTTGACATTGGGTAATGAGTTGGCAAAATTAATATGGATAGATGAGGGTATTTTCAATCGTTAATTAATACTATAAAACTTTTATGTCATTTTTATATTATTTTTTGAGTAAAAATTTACACACTAAACTCATTTGTTACTTTTCAAGATTTAATGAAAAATTAAATCGTTTTCAAAATTATCATTAATTTTGCAAATGTTATCTACAAAATTGGTGAAATCATATGAGATAAATAATGTTAGACCGAAGTAACACCTTACATCTCCGAAAATATCATGTTTTAACAAATTTTGCATGTCATTTGCAAACCGGCACATTTCATCTTCGATATGGTCAACATACACTGAGGAATGATGTGTACAATCACGTCTTCGTCTTTCCCCGCTCATCAGAACTACCTGAAACATTGAAATCCAAATTGTAAGCCAAAGCTTAGCAAGCTTCCCAAAACACCCCATAATACAAACAACTACAGATATAATACAAGCATGCATACAGGGTTTGTTGGCACGTGGCCTCAACCCAACCATCCAGGTTTGTTGGCACGTGACCTCAACCTCGCTATATCGGGTATGTTGACTTCCAGTCTCAACCCAACCATATCGGGTTTGTTGGCGCGCGGCATCAACCCTACCACCCATATGTCGACATATACACAACAATCACACATATAACTATCATATCAATCCTACATCCTAGGATACATAAACACAATAAATGGGTCAACCGTGGTGTCTTAGACCCATTGGCATAGTGAGAGAACTCACCTCTCGATCCGAACACAATCTGGAATACATCTCGACTCTGAACGCTAGTTCTACTCGTCACCTATTATGCAAATCATTGCCCAACCTTAATTAATACCAAATCACCCAAAAATATCCTTAGGTCTAAATTGGTCAAACTCAACAAATCAGCCGAGTCGAATCCTCCTAGTACGCGAGGCGTACTCGGACGTACGCGGGGCGTACTCAGTTGCGACCAGAAAATGGGGGCCTAACCGTGTACGCACGTCATACCATCGAGTACGCCCAGCGTACGCAACTGAATGCTCTTAACCCATTAAGTGCTTAATGCATAAGCCTTTTCGCCCAAAATACAGATCCAAGTCCCAAATGTTGTCCTTGACCATAAAGTTTCCAACTTTATGGTCTTACATGGACCTAATGTGCTTAACACTAAAAACCCCCAACATCTTAAGCCATTAAGACAACCAAACTCGTGCAAGGGGAAGAACTAAGGGTCAAGAACACATTTTTATCACTCTAAGTCTAGAAAAACATCTAAAAGGACAGCCCATTTGCTCTATAGCATGCCATGCACAAGAAGACCATATTCCGGGACAAACGTTCATAATATTATCATATACCCAAGATTTATCAAACTAATCACCAAGGTATGAACTTTATACATTTTGGGGATTGAGGATGATGCAAGACCTCCATATCCAAGCTTGCTTCTAGCGTCCAAACATCACCATTTGAAACACACAAAAACACACTCTCAATCTTCAAAATGCAACAATGGGGCTAGGGTTTGCAAGGGACAAAGTTTCAAGTGATGGAGGCTGGAAATGGGACGAGGAAATGGGACTTAAGGTTCAATATATAGGGTCCAAACCCTAAAGATTAGGGTTTAAGTCTAGGCAGAGTATGCCTCGCGTACTCACAGTACGCCCAGCATACTCCCCCAAAACGGTGTCATTCCGCTTAATCCCCCTTACGCCCAGCGTACCATCCAGGTACACCCCGCGTAAGGGCCAAAGTTGCCAAATCATAAATCAAAGGATTAGAAAAGGAAATTTACCAGGACTCGAGTA